TTGAAATTTTTTTGGTCAGGTTAAAAAGTGGTTAAACAAATAAACACTGCATTTAAATATTTATTTCTTTTATTTTTATTATTAAGTAAGATTTTAAGTTTAATTTTTTTAGCACTAGAGGCTTTTCAAAAACTCATCAGTAGTGCTATTTATGTTATCATAATAATATTCTCCTATTTTTAAACAAGAAATGATTAAATTAATTAAATGATAAAATTATGATAATTATCCATAATTTAATCTTTATAACTTTTATAATCACTAAAACTCCTATATATTGTTCTTCTACATCACAATCAACCTATCACTATTAATCACCCTGTATTTTACTATAACCTAAATGGATTAGGAGACTCGAGGTAAAACACTTGGCTCACAATTAAGAGGTTCCTTGTTCAAATACAGCCTTTGCACTTCGCATCTATCTACTTATTTTTTCTTTTTAATTAATCTTTTGCCATCGTGGTTTTTTGCTTTGCTTTGTTTATATTTTTTGACATTTAACTTGTTTGTCTCTAAATTTTTAGAAAATTATTAAATAATGCTGGATAGATAAAATATATGATTTTTCAGTAGAACTTAATTGGTTTGATCTTAAATTTTTGTAACTTTTAATAACTTTTACAAATTTTCCAAGCCCCTGAAAGTACCACGTTTAATCTGTTTCATTGCACAGTAGTCTCGTTCAAGCTGCAAGGTTTGTGTTTTAGAGATTAGCGTTTACAGAGAATTTAAACGTGATTTAAATCAAAAAAAAGAGTCATAATTAATTTTAAAAAGAAAAGTAATAATTTGATAACTTTTTTTTTTTTTTTTTGTAACTTAGGTGCTCCAAGAAGACCTATCGGTTTTGTCACAGAGCACCGCGGATGTGCGTTAAACCAGGAAGTTCACGCCTCCTTCCTTCTTATATATATATATATAGTATATATATATATATATATATATATATATATATATATATATATATATATATATATATATATATATATATATATATATATATATATATATATGTATATATATATATATAGTATATATATATATATATATATAATATATATATATTATATATATATAATATATATATATATATATATTATATATATATATATATATATATATATATATATATAAATATAATATATATTAGGGTGGATCGATTTTAAAAATTTTTGAAATTGATTTGCCTGAGCTGCGAATCGATGTCTTTTGGTGAAAAAAAAAAATCTTTTTTTATTTTATTTTGTTTTAAATGAGTTTTAGAGGTTCCTCTTTGGATTCTAAATTTATGACGGATCCAAATATTGTTGAAACCTTTTTTCTATATCAACCTGGTACTCAAAAGAAGCAGAATAATACGCTTTTTTTTGAATATAGTATTTGTTTTAATTAAAAACTAAAGAAAAAAAAATCATGTCATTTTTTTTCAATAAAAAACCCCCGTCTTCATTAAAACGGGGGTTTTAAGGTATGTTTTTGCAAATATTTTTTTCAATAAATTTTTTTTTTTTTAAATAAAATTATTATTGATAAAGCAAGCATTTTTTTCTGCTTTTTTTGAGTCCAAGGTTGATTTAGTTTAGAAAAAAAAAGTTCAAAAATATTAGGATCCGTCAAGAATTTAGAATCCAAAGAGGAACCTCAAGATTTCATCAAAATGAAAAAATATTTTTTTACTTTCATCTTATAATTAATAGACATCGATTCGTGTCTCAGGAATATTGATTTTTAAACTTTTTTTTTTTTTGCTACGAAAATCGATCCACCCTAATATATATATATATATATATATATATATATATATATAATATATATATATATATATATATATATATATATATATATATATATATATATATATATATATATATATATACTACAGTTTCTTGGGTTTGGGCAGACACGGAAACTTTTTTTCCTTCTAACTTAAAGTTAAATCTTACTCAGTTCTATGGTTTTCTTCTTCACGCAAAGCTTCTGTTTTTTGAACTGTAATAATTTTATTAAACTTTTTTTTCTCATAAAGAAAAACCCTTTTTAATCATTGAAGAAATCAATGAAAAACTGTATTGAGTAACAAATAAAAATCTAAATTCTTTTCAGATAGCACAAAGCATTTTGTGCTATCTGAAAAGAATTTAGATTGAAGCCTGGGAACAAAAAAGCCCTGGAAACGTGAGAGCAACAAGTTGATGAAATATTTTTAATACTAATTTCAACTAGATTTATATTCATCGATAAATTTTAAATTTCATAGTAAATTATTTTAGCGTTCAAAAGTTATGATCATATAAAGTTTAAACCCCCCTCAATTTGAGGGGGTCGTAAACTTTATATGGTCATAACTTTTGAACGCTAAAATATTTTACTATGAAATTTATGAATATAAGTCTAGTTAAAATTTGTACAAAAAATATTTTATCAACTTGTTGCTCTCGCGTTTGGGGCAGGGGCCAAAAATTTTGGGGCTTTTTTGTTCCCAGACTCCAATCATTGCAATTTTTTGCAAACCATCCTTATTTGACATAAGTATAAACATATGAATGTTTGGAGTTCGCTCCATATCTGGAAGTCAGCAATCTCAAAGATCAAAAAATGCTAAATCCGGCCCTCTCTCTCTCTCTCTTAAGAGAATCCCAGGGCGCGGAATCAAGAGTTTTGATTCCACGCCCTGTTTCGCAAGTATTATTACGAAATGGTTTATTTCGCAAGTTTCTTTTCGTAAAGGGTTATTAGGGAATTATTATTATTTATTTTTTCGTAAAATGCGTTACGTAAGGTGAATTTGCTTCCGCAATAGCAGTTTGAAATACGAAAGATAAAAATGCGAAATTTTCGTAAGTTTTTGTTTACGGCGAACAACCCTAATTTGACCAAACAAATCCATATAACGAAAAATCAGAACTTAAAGCGTTATAACTTTTGAAGGAATGGTTCGATTTTGATAATTTTTTCACTTTTAAAATACTGTATTGATCTTCTTTATTATGAAATTTAACAGTATTATATTTAAACAATTTGAAATTTTAAGTAAGGTAATTAAATTAATCTTACCTTATCAAAAGCTTGATCGATATTTCTTCTTTTACGTAAGAGATTATCTTCTGAGACTGATCTTTTTTTTCTTTTGACAACTTCATTTGGAGCTGAAGAAAAACCAATGTTTAATTTTTTCAAAAGATTAATAAAATTCTTCTGCTGCATCTTAGTTTCGTTTCCATATTTTTCAAATATTTTTTCGACAAAATAACTCCCATGTGGAAGCAGTACAGTATTACTTTTATCAGAAATTGAAATACAGTTGTTTAACAAGTTTTGAACAATAAAAACACTGACTATCTGCAATTCATATTCATCAATATTGTCCAAAGATATATTAGCAGCTTTTATAATATCTTCTGAACCAAGACACTATAACAAAAACGCGGAAAAGTTACTTTGAAAATTGCATGAAAAATTCGACTTACTTGAAACACTCTGATTTAACAGTAATTCATATTTGCAAAGTCAACAAAAATAGTAATTCATATTTGCAAAAAAAATATTGTTAAAACTTAATTTTTAATAATTTAAAAATTTGCTTTAAACTTTGTTTCTGCATATTCTATACAGAAGCTAATATTATAATTTAATTATAAAATAATACATAAATTTGAGTATTGTGGTTTATCTTCCTCCGGCTAATTTCCATATAGAAGCCACATACCCGGGCCAGCGAAGACAAGTTCAGCTCATTTAAGAGCATCATTACCCGCTTTGCTAACCAAGAGTAAGTGAGTTTAGAAAGAACGAAGAAGTTAAAGTGAAAGTCAGAAAAAGTCGTGTTAGAAAGATAGCAAAAAAAAGCGGACAGATAAATGTGCTGGATGCTAGATTGTGCAATTCATTTTTAGATTACCTAATTTAGGTGTTTGTAGAATTGTTGTTCAACATTGTTGTTCAACGTTGTCAACTTTGTTGATGACGTTTTGTTTATCATTATTTGATATCAAATTATCATAATCGTTTATCGTTATTTCATAATACATAATTTTTGGTATTGTGGTTTATCCTCCTCTGGCTAGTTGCCATATAGAGGCCATGTTACCAAGGCCCGCAAAGACAAGTTTGGCTCCCATAAACTAAAGGAGCGTCATAATCCGCTCTACGGCCCAAGAGTAAAGTGATTTGGGAAGAACGAAGATATGTAGTCGAGTTAGAGAGATAGCAGAGAGAAAGCGGACAGGATTGCATACGATGTGAAGAGGAGAATTACGTTAATATACACACAATTGATCTAAGTCGATTATTGTATCAAGTCTTAATACAAACCTTTTATTAATTAAGTTTACTTAAGATTTAAAATATAATTTTTTTATAACAAATTATTGTTATCCATTAATATATGCAAGCATGAGAAGTCTTGACATTTTATATACATTTTTACTTGTGGGTTTATAAAAACTCGTGAAATATTAAGCTTGTTTTATTGATTAAAAAAAAGTAATGTAACGTAACAAAATCTAGAAATGAGACGTAGTTAAAATGTCTCTACAGATTTTTTTAATGATACATTACGCCTTAGTTTATAATTTTTAAAAATTGCACTTTTATCAGTATAAAAAAAAAGAACTGAGACGTAACTTGGCGAATTGAAACTTTTTTATTATTTTTTTGTGACAAATTAGTAGCAAAAATAAAAGAATTAAAGTTACTAATTATTATAAATCTATCTTACAGTTAAAACAAACGATGATTATTAAAAGTTTTCAAAAAATATTTTTTAGTTACAAATGTCTCGACAAACCCATTGTTGAATACCTTCACTCATTAATGAGTTACGGTATTTAACAATAATTTATATTAACAATACTACTTATTAACAATATTGTAGTCGCATTATTACGTTTAATAGAACTATTGTATTAAAAAAAAGTTTTCTATATAACTAACCCACAATCTAGTGAATTAGTTTTAAAAAAACACTTTTTAAAGGTAAATAAAATATTTAAAGCTTTATAAGTAACTTAACGTAAAACATAAAAAAAGTACCTTTAAAAGTCAAAATAATTTACGGTATCGTAAAATGAGGTAAACATCGTAATGTTTAGCCAAGTTCAAAAATATTTTTTTCAAAATTAAATTATAAATGATTAATATGATGATATAAATCCCATTAGGTGTGCATGATATCAAAGAAATAAAACATTATATCTTTGACCCTTTTTTTTTAATTTTAACGGTGAGTCAAATTCACCCCTATAGTGGTGGTGACTTTTGCCACCTAAAAACATATAATGGTAATGACTTTGACCACTTAAAAACAAATTATAATTATTGATTAATGGTTTCATATTTTAAATATTCACATTTGCATAGATATTAGGTGATATGTTTTTAAGGCAAAATAGTATTAAAAACAACAGCTTGAAACTAACTTACGATTTTATTTAAGATATAAATCACAAAGAAACCTTATTTATATTTAAAACTAAAAAAACTATGCATCAATAACTCTATGTGCTAGAGTTATTCAATAGATTATCATTAATTATTTACTGCTCAAGAGTGGATACCTTTTTTTTTTTTTCAATGGTCATTTTTTTCTTAGTCTTATTTGTATTTATAGCTGCTTCCATATTAACTACATCAATTGATGATATACTTTTTCCTGGCACATCGAAGACCTTATGTAGCTTTTTGTTAGGGGTTATATGATCATCATCTCTAGCTTCAGCTAAATGTTGTATGAAAAAATCACTGACAAGAGAACCTATTTCTACAGTGAAATTTTCATTTGTAAATGTTCGTTTAGGAAGTTTATCATCTACCTTTTTTCGATCAAGTGGGTATAATCCAGTTTTTCTTTAACTTTTTTCATGAGACTCGAAGCAATACGGGAGACTTGCATTATCCAGTACATATGTATTTATATGTGACAACAAACTGTCTCCAATTAGAACATATTTTCCAGAAGTTTTTTTTAATTCAGGTAACAATAAAGATTCAAACCAATCTGTAAAGCAACTGGAGTCAAACAATCCACCCATTAAACAGTTATAACGTGCTCCTTTTGGTCCCATTTCTGCTCAAATCTGCTTTATATACAATATATGGAGAAAGGATATGTCCTTCTGCATTATCACAATTCATCAAAGATGTAGCAAACTTGTCCACATCGAATCTACTTTATATAAAATGTATGGAGAAAGGATATGTCTTTCTGCATTACCACAATACATCAAAGATGTAGCAGACTTTGTTGAATTAATTATTCTCTCAGGATATTTTGATCCTCGCTGTATTATTACTAGTTTATTACCAGGGTCATTGGTTAAATTAGTTTCATCGTAATTCCAAATGTTTGATGGAGAAACCCTCCCAGTTAAGGAGTGATGTTATTAAAAAAGTTATTAATAATAACAGTACCTACTTCTGCCCTTTTTCTTTTAATGTTACTTGCAAATCTAACACTTAATTGTTTATTTCTCTTAAGGAATGAATTAACCAATTCAACGGCAGGCATATTTTTTGCAAATTGCCAAATAAACATTCTTTTACGGTCTGCATAAGACTTCACAATACTTCGTAAATTATAACAGTCAACTGGGAATCTAAAAGAAGACATAGTTATATCATAGTTTTAAAACATTTCTTCTTCAATTTCAGTAAATATTGTGCAACCGCTTGGTTTTTTATAATGTATACCTTTCAGTTTATTCTTTATTCTTGATAGAAGAATTTTAAAGGTCAAGGAAGCATCTGATTGTGTTAATTTACCACTTCTTACTTCTTTTAAAAATTTGGTTTATGTTTCCTAAGTGTATGGAATATAATCATGACTCACAGTAACACGTTTATATGTTCTTGGCGTGTTTACTTTGATATAAGTATGATTATTAATTACTTTTTTTTTACTTTTTAAAATGTAACATAACGTAACGTTAAAAAAACTCAAAATTTGAGACGTATTTTACGTCTATTAACGTCTATTGAGACTACGTCTCAAATCTAGATTTAGTTACGTTATTTACTTCTCAATTGGTTACATTTAAAAAAGTTAAAAAAAAAAATAATATAGATATATGAAGACCACAATGGAAAAAACGGCAAAGTCACATTAAAAAAGTTTTGAGAAAGTATATATTGATCATTTATAAAAGTCTTTGTATAAAGATAGGTAAAAAAAAATTTGATAAAAAATACATAAATTTTAATAAAAATGTTAACTTAAGATAAATTAATCTAGAAATGCCTTTTTTTCGTAATTTTTAGGTTTCATTGTTTTTTTATAAAGACTTATTTAAATGATCAATATATACTTTCTCAAAACTTTTTAAATGTGACTCTGCTGTTTTTTCCATTGTGCTCTTCATATGTCTCAATTGTTTTTTTTTTTTTGTTTTTTTAACATTTCAATTACTTAAAAATAACGGACATTTTAAGTACAAAGAACACAAAGAAAATCTGTAAATAAACTAAAGATTCAGACTAACTTTATGAACAAGATGGGACTTATTGTTAAGTTCCCTATAAAAGCTGGTTCTAGAATAAGGAACGATGGCAATACTTCAAGGCGTGCTTTTGGAACATATGATCAAAATTTTACATTATCTTGGTAGCACTATAATCAGGATATGAAATAGATTGCTTAAAATTCAAGAGTTATTATTTTGATACTGTTAGACAATATGTATCCCTTAATGGATTGTTTTAAACGGCTGAATCTGTGCATAAAGTGCACATACACGGACATGGTTGAATTAAAAACCCTACATTAGCTATCAGACTTAGGTCAAGATGCTAAAAATAAAGACTTACAATCTTATCGCAAAAATTTCAGTCAAAAAAATCCAAAAGAGCAACAAATACTGATCTGATCAATAGAACCCTAGTTTCAAGTGATCCTGTTATTTCATCACTGCGTAATCAACATCAAATTTAACAAATCATAAAACATTTCCTTCAGATGTTTTTAAATTACTTAAACAATCTTCATACGAAATTTTTGTTTTTTAAATTTTTAATGTAATTTAAATTTGACAATGTTTTCTTGCAGTAATTTTTGTTTTTATTATTGCTAAAACATAATTTACCTAAATAATTATTTGTTATTCTATATAGGTGGGTCAAAAATCTGATAAAATTTATTCAAAAATCAATTTACCCCTTTTTAACTAAGGAAAGTATCTGGTAACTAAGCAATATTAGTATCCAAAGCAACTAAATAAAAAAAATCACTTTTTAATGAAGCATGATCTCATATTGATACTTATGCCAAGTTAAGTGAATATAGCATTTGTAAAATATCTGCAAATACCAAAAATAGGTTGTTACTAAGCAAAATATGGGTATCTATAGCAACGAAATAAAAAATATTGTCTTCATAAAAAGCGCAGACATCATATTAGTGCTCATGCTAATTTTAGTGA